ATTGCTTATGGCTTTGGTAACCCAGATTATAAAGGAGGGAAAACGATTAGATTGAATTCATACATTATAAACATTAAGTAATTTGATTTGGAAATATTTATTTTTATTATGCTTTTTGTTTTAAATCCCATAAGCTATACGAAAATAATTATAAATACAGATTAAGTAATAAAGAAATATGTTTTTTTTCGTAGAGAAATGAGTTCAACACATTTTTGAACTTCATCTAGTGTTACTTATTTTTATTTTTTCTTAATTATCTGATGTATATTTTTTATATCACAAATATTCACACACAACAGTAATACCTGTGACAATTATAATAGGTATTACGTACTTTTACTACAAATCGACGAAAACAAAACCAAACGAAATATTTAAAAACAAAATAATAAAACCTAATCTCTTTAATTCATTAATTGTATCTTTCAAATGTTTTATAAATAAAAAATAATAATGATAGGTAAGGAAGTGTTCCTACGTATGATTTGGATTATATACAAATTATTTTGTTTAGTTATTTATATTTGATATCGAATTGATTTATTTTTCCACAAATCGAGACACTTAAGAATTTATATTAGAGCAAAATAACAATAATAATAAAAGATGTGGTCTATTTTATATTCAAATAATTTATCTTGTATCCAAATAGGTAAAAAATGAGTACATACCTTTAAATATAGGTATATATACCTAAAAATATCTAGCCATAAAGTATCGAAGTTAACTGATATGATATTCGCATCATTTCGCGTATTTACCGTTCAGTCGATAATTGATAATCATGATAACATTATCGGTCATTCACCTTTAAAGGATACTTTGTTTTTGTAAATCATATTCATGTGTTTTTATTTCTAATAAACTAATTGTGTATAGAAATATGAATTACGCAATGTACTGAAAAATGTTCATAGAAAAAATTCATCGCTGTCTACATAATCTATAAATCTTGCTTGATGTTTATCACTAGAAATAGATAGTAAGAGTTTTGTTTTTTCATAATAAACCTCTAAATCAAAAACTTCTTGGTATTCGCGATATAAGCCCCATTAATACTAAATTAATGTTAATCCATAGTTTTTTAAGCTTATGTCAAGTTCAAATTGAAATTACAAAACCATTTCTCATTTGATTTTCAAGTCTGTTTTAATTTGGACGCAAATTTCTAAATTACATTACGAATTTAATAAAACCCGTGTTCCATTTTAGATAGTCTAATTACGTCAATATTTTTTATTATATTCAAAACAAGTAAATAGGAAACAATTTGCTAATAGATTAAATTAAGATACTTTTTCGACTAAAGAACTAACTAACTAACCCAGAGTTTGAAAACATATATGATTTTCCTATAAAATCATGATTAAAATAATAAAACCTCCATGCTTCATGACGTGATTAAAACCCGACGCCATTGGTTATATAGAGTTGCGTTAACTTTGTTTACAGTCGATAAAGGTACAGTACATGAGAGTTTTCTTTGTTCTATAGATTTTTATTTTGTTGCTTACTATGAGAAGTGTTTTGTTTGTTACTCAAGCTGCTGAAATAAAAATGTGAATATATACTGTACAATGTACATATTATAAAGTAATAAATAATATGTTTTTAATAACTTTTTTTTTTCAGTTTATTAGTCAAATAGATGTTTCAATGCAAGCAATTATAAAACTACTCATACCATATATTTACGTTACTAACTGATTTATTTATCATGAATCAATTTGAAATAAAATAACTAAATCTAACGTTTAACATGTATAAAAATACACAAATATTTCCCTAATTTTACAAGGTCTCAGCTGAATCTTATTACGTTAATTCTGTACAGCCATGTTGTAAAAAAGAAATTACAGACAATATTCGATCTAAATGTTCATGTACTCAACATCGCGTTGCAAGTTGCTAGTAACATTTAATATAGTCATTTCGATACATTATAGTATGCCACAATTTTCCTGCGATTTTTCCGACATTAAAACCTCGATTTATTGTTCCTTTATATATGAGTATATTCTCGCTAAATCTTATCTTTCACTGTCTCCTTTCAATCATATCGCGTTCCATATGCACTAACATAACTAAATATTACAAACATTAAGTTTTTTTCATACTCAGGAAAGAGACCTAGAGGAAGACCTGAGACCACCTGGACAAATGTGTTGCTGGCAGATATGAGACAATGTAATGTTTCCGAAGATGACGTCATAGACAGAGCGAATTGGAGGCAAAAGACAGACTGACCCCATCATCATGTGGGATACACAGTGAGGAAGAGAGAGAGATTAAGATTTTTCACACATCCACATATCAATGTTAGAGTTATATTTTATTTAAAGTTCACGATAGGTAATTTTCATAAGAAACCATTACAAAAAATATACTGATCAGGGGATAGTAAATTAGCTTAAATAAAGATTCAATTACAGAAACTTAATTGTGAAAATATAACTCGCTCTATAATCGAAATGATTATTTACTTTAAAATCTTACCCACACCTCGCCAGCATCACAGGAAGCATTGAAAGCCAGACACAGTTGAGCGACAACCCGAAATATTACCATATGACAAGCGATTTATTGGAGAAGTTTTCTATCACAAAACATTGAGCTCGTTCTTGAAATCGATTATCACAATCATGGTTTTAAATTTTAAAATAATTGAGTCTATACGAACTTGTTTGTAACCATATCTTTTGATTTACAGGACAAAAGAAGAGCAACATCAGTTCAAGGGCCAAAGAACATATTTTAGACATTAAAATTAGGCGTACGTCGAAGTTAGTAGCATATGCAAACACTGTGGGCAAACCAGGACATTAATTCCTGTTTGACAAACCACAGATCCTCGAACGTGGAAAAAAATATAAACCTGTCTTCACAATCTTTAAAATCTGATTATATGATATTAAAAAAAACGTCCTAATTGCAATACAGAATATGGGGGTGGGGGGGGCAATTATCCAATACGTGGTATGTCTCATCAAAAATATAACATCCACTGTATGTGACCAGGCGGCAGACCTCAAGATGTACTTATTTAGAGTATTTCACTTACATCCAGAGCAGTGAGCAAAAAATACTATATCTTTGGAGATAAATGCCAAAAAGCAAGACAAACAGACACTTAATAGCTAACAATAACGTTATGAAAGTTTTTGTAATAAAGCTACATGCATTACGATTCCAAAGATAAATGTTTAGTTGCAATTATGTAGCCAACTTGCCAACCAAACATTTTTTATATTTGTGTATACTGTATAGGTTGTAAGTGCTGAAAAACCACTTTATTCCCGCCTTTATTTATTTGCTTGTTTAATTCTAAGGATAAATTCGTAAACAGTATTTTTAAAGAACTTAGTTAGCCATATGGTAGTTAACAACGTTATTTTTTTTAAAAGTACATAAATTGTGTCACGTCTTAAATACTGCTTATAAATTTCCGTTCTTTGATGATGCCATCTAAAACTAGGTAACAAGTACTTTTCATAAAACTTATGATAAAAGAAGTCGAATAGAGTTTAAAAATTAAAACATAAGGATCTACCTACATCTACTAATTTTAATTTTCTAATAATAATGAATATTAAATTAATTAGCCGAAGACACATAACCATGAAGTGGAATAAAAAGTTAAATATATGTATGTATAATATATATTTTATCAAATGTAGATAGAGCAATTAAAATAAAGAGTATGTACCTAAAAAGGATTTAAAAAACAATAATAAACTTCATTTGGTTATCTGTTACATTGTTGTATAAGATACTTTATTAAAAAAAAAAAAAATACTTTGTGTAGCCTTATATTTAAAGTTATGTGTTTAAAATACAATTTCATTTTATGTCGATACACTTAAAATTAAATCTTGCAAGTGAATTTTAAATAACTATTCTAAACCTATTGACGTCTAGTTTGGCATCCAAAATAGCGAATAGCTTAAAATGCCGCAAAAGTTATTTTGCCCATAACTTACTTAAATATACCAGCCATAGATAAAAAAATATATCCAAGTAATTGAAAAATGTAAACTCTTAACTTTTTACTTTAAAAAATAAGATAAAAAAGCACATTGTTTTTAAATGATATAAAATCAGTCACTTTACATAATTTTTATGTATAAGAAGTAATAAGATATTTACTTACATCTTAAAAATTAATCTTTCATCATTCCTGATTTAGTATTTCAATTATCTATTCATGGTGTCAGAAGACTATTCAATGAAAATCACGTAAGTGTTTAAGTCGAATGACAAGTGATCAGCAATTTCATGAATACTTCATTACTTTATTAATTGTCTTCTTTGAAGTACTTTTAATGAAAATTAAGCAGTATAATTTAACATGTCTAGTTTTAGCCAGCGTGACTTATAAGATTCAATAATTATCTTTTTAAAAATATGATTTTGGTTAATAACTTGTTAAAGAACTTGGTAAAATCATCATTAATCATCATTAATAACTTGTTAAAGAACTTGGTAAAATAATATATTTTTTATAAGATATGTAATATATGTAGATTAATGTATGCATTTGTTATTAATTTAAAAAATATACATTAAAAAAGATTATTTACAATTAACATACTAATTTGAACGCACGTATGAAATATGTTTGTTTCTCAAGTGTCAACTTTATAAATGTCACAGCAATGACACATTTCAAAACGGTACAGAGCGTTATGAATATTTCAAATTCCAAACAATTTTAAAGTTTCAGGTAAAGTAGTATGTTTATGTTTTAATGTTAGTTTTTGAAGTTGTGTGACTCATTACAGGAATTATACTATATTATCATGTAGGATTAATGTAATAATATTAAAAACTATCTCCTTCATAAGTACAGTAAATTGTAGGTGTGGCGCTTTCTACATTTCATCAAATTACTAACAAACTTTTTTTATAACTAATAAATTAAATTATATTAGGTAACTGAACAATTTGTCTTGCAGATTTTATATGAAAATTGCGTTCACCGTTATCAAATATCAAATATGTCGACGCCAGTATTAGAATCTTGTTGGTCACCATGTATTTGGGCGTCAACTGTAAAAAGCGGCAGCAGGGCAGTAGCTGTGTACACGATTGCTATGGGATTAATATTAATAACATTTATAGCCTATCAGATGGCTGGAGGTGATTCAACACAGCTTTGGAACCCTTTGTTTGAGGCTGATGTCAGAGGATGTATGTTGTTCTACTTAATTATTTTGTTTTTGTATGAACTATATACACCCTTCCTTGTAGCAACTATGATTACAAGTAGATCAGATTGAGGTTGCTGCATAGTAACCGAAAAGTTGGGATTATGTAGTTTTAAAATAATAAATTAATAACATAACATATTGTAAATTGAAAAGAATAGTTTCATTTAAATGAATACTTGTGAAAATCTTAGATCTTGACATTGCTTTTGAATTGAAAAGATAAAAGTTAAACTATAATTCTGCCCTATGTAGTCAATATATCAGTTACCAAATAGTAACATATCTGTTTAATACAATACTTCTCGCAAAATATCTTTAATATGATGTTTCTGGGTCATGTTCTACCAATATTACAAATAGAATGTTCATGAGCCTATATTGATGTGCAGAAGTTTGTTGATCTTGAATGAAAAACTCCTATTCATTTGGAAGAAAATCTAACAGAAAAAGTCGTAATCTTTAATTGCTACATAGTTTTTGGAAGTTTGAAGCATAACAGTGGTTTTGCATTAAGTCGGACCACAAACTGCTATGATACTGTTACAAGATGTCACTGCTAGTTAATTAAGAATATCTATTGTGTCCCTGAGCCCAACTAAAAATTTTATAAAGACATAGTCGTAACAAACTTTAGAATATAAATTATTTTCTTGTGTCTTAATTATATGTCTTTCGTTTCAGCACTTCAAGTATTTGGAATTATATTCATAGTGATATTGGTTACACTCATTGTGTCATCAGTTTTAATGGTAATTGATATTTTATTACTCAATTTATATTGAATGTTTCAAAACTGTACCAACAACTTCATTTTCAATAGCATGTTTTTATTGTACCTAGTAGAAGGCTAATAGTTTTAACAAATTTTCAACTAACTAATTGTTCATACATATTTAAATTTCAAACTAATATTATAGGACATTGCTGGATTTTAATCATTAGAAATAAAGAAACATTTGCTATTCTGGCAGAGTTAAAATAATTAGCTTTTAGTTAAATTTAGTCTAAAGACAAGCTATAAGTAGTAATATTTTAAATGTCTTGCTTTAACAATGAAGGAAAATATCTCTAGAACTATACTTATAAGGATAATTTACCAACCATATTATTTGTATTATGAGTAGTTGAAACATTTAATAATTATTTTCTTATACAATTCCAGGTGATTGGAATTAACATATGGATGAGAGGTTTAATGTTACCGTGGCTCATCACAATGGCTCTCATCATCCTTTTCCAGTTTGTGTTCGGCTTGTGGCTTATCGGAGGATATTATATTTATGTAAGTTAAACAGTTTTGATGAAAATCAATATCTTATATTAATAATAAGGTGGCTAAAAAGTTACAGAAACATTAGGAGTAGTTTAGAACAATGAAATATGAGTAGTACAGTGTTTTATAAAATCAGTAATTTAAGTTACAACCACATATCTTAATATTTATATCTATTTTGCATTAAGATCATCATTTTTTTATCTTTATTTTAAAGGCTTGTTTACATAAAAACAAACATGTCATCCTGTTTGGATAAATTACAAATATCTTAACAACTACATTATATTCTTATATCATAAACAAAAAATAATGACAACAATAAACAATTCTATATTAAAACAAACATAATATAAAAAAATATTCCAAATTTTACAAATGTTACTGACGGCAACCACACCTAAATTTCCCTGTTTCTTAACACTTCTCTCACTTATGTATATATCTTCATAGCAGAAGTTAAAATCATCTTCATCTGATAGTTTTGCATAAAGTTAATTTAGAAAGAGGATAATGAAAATAATATTGTGTGTAATCATTTAACACTATTACTGCTATCAGTCCTAATAATTAAGTGTAATATCCAAAAAGTATAAAAACATACATAATATTTTATATCCCACAAACACTATTGCTCATTTACAACTGTTTGATATATGTAAATAATTTTCATTTCCAACTAATTTTAATATACTCATATACATTTTTTGATTCTTAGAAATAATTGAAATATATCATAAAGTTGTTGGATGCATATTTAATGTGACATTTTTAGACCTAAACAGATAATTTAAAAATAGAATCAATGGTAGATAATAATACCAATCAATCAATAACTTCAATAAATTTAAAATTATACATCTTCTATACAGGGTGACTGGTGAATTACTATCGATACTTGAGGACGTGATATTTGACGATCATATATGACAAAATAAAAATTAATATAACATAAATATTAATAAACTTCTAAGTAAAGTTAACCAAAAGTTATGTAATTAATTACGCATCGTGTGCACACCCTACAGATTAGGTATACACACACACACACACACATACACGTGCGGCGGCGTGGTGTTGTATCAGCACGCCGCCGCACGCGTCCACACTTGGAACACTTGGAACGTGTACACACTTTATTTATTTATACGGAAGATTGGTCAAAAATTAAGTACCTATTTTTTTTACATAATTCTAATGAGAATCATGTACTGAGTATTCTCCTTAAATATTGATAGTAATTCACCAGTCACCCTGTATATGTAAAAATGGATTGCTGTTCCTTAGTCTCGCTAAAACTCGAGAACAGCTGAACGGATTTATCTTATCTTAGTCCTGAAATGTTTGTGGAAGTTCAGGGAAGGTATAAGGTATAGCTGAAAAAAAAAAATCCGGGAAAACCCTAAAAACAACGCTTCTCTATTTCCCATACAAACGGGTTTTTTGACATTAGATTTGACAACTACCTAATATGTCAATCATTCTGTCGCACTTTAGAACACGGAGATTTATGGCTTAAAGGTAAACTCCAAAAAAATAATTAAGAAATAATTTATTTCTTGATTGAGGCAGTACGAAGTCTGCCGGGTCAGCTAGTCTTATATACAACGTGTAACATAATTAACGCACACCCTGAAAGTAGTTTGTTCAGAATCGGATATTGTATCGATTTTGATAGTTTTTTATGTAGGTCATTTTTTTCTCAAATTTAGATAGTAAATAAAGTAAATTATAGTCACCCTACACACAGTTATCTAAACACTTCATAGAAACGAAAATGGATCGTAAGTCAGGTTAAGATTTTTAAAATGAAATATAATAATTAGTAATCATCATTCAATTAAAGAAAACTGATACTTGTTTCAAGGCTAAAATAGTATTTTACAAATATCTACGCACGCACAGCGACAGCCGGCACACATCAAATACCTACGCACGTGTCCATTGACCTCCTAGATCAGCTGATTTGACGCCACTCGACTTTTTTTTTGTGGGGGCGAATTAAATCGCTAGTTTATAACACAGAGACAACAAGTTTCGAGGAAATAAAAAATAAGATAATAACCGCCTTTTTAAAAGTGAAAAGTGACACTGCAGTATTATCTAAAATAAAACCACAATTGCGAAATCGGTCATTACTTAAAGTGCATTGAACAAGGCGGTGGACATTTTGAAAATGTTTTAAAACGACAACGCCGTGCGAGTGCAAAGTAAACGGTAAATATGTTTATGATCATTAAATTATTGTAAATATTTTGATTCACACCATTTAAACACGCCGACTTTGTCGTAGATATTGTGGTGTCTAATCAAATCACGCGTTATCAGCTGTTTAATAATTCTTATTTACAAATTTAATTTAACAAATCAGTAATTATAAAATGTTGGCTTCACATTAAAAAGAAAATTCAATGTCAACAATCTAAAGCTTGAAAAGTGTGATGGAAAGAAGAATCATAAATCATAATGTATGTAGTTATTTCGTGTACTTATTATTACCTACTTCTTATTATTGTCGGACGGCACTCGGAGAGAGGGGCGCGGGCGCGGCGAGTACATAGTGTCTGTCTGTGTGTGCGTGTGCAGCAGAGTGTTGGTGAATAGCTGATCATATTATTTGCACGAAATTGGGATAACTAATTTCACAAATAAAAAATGGAAACACACATATAAATAATATTTTGTGTATGCATTGCGTTTATATTATTATTTTCTAATTGGGGTGTTTGAGGGTGTGCGTTAATTATGTTACACGTTGTATACATTTCTCGTGTCGCGAATCGCGATGTTAGATAGAGACCTCCTCCGAAACGGCTGGACCGATTTTGATGTAATTTTGTGAGCATATTAATTAGGTCTGAGAATCGGCCAACATCTATTTTTCATACCCCGAAGTCATAAGGGTTGGTTACCCTTAATTTTTTTTTTTATCGGACGAATTTTTTGTTTTTAATTTTATATAATGTAGCATTAAAAAATACGTGCAACCAAAAAAAATTACTTTTTTATCACCAACCCCAATTTTTTATATGGCAAAACAACGTTTGCCGGGTCAGCTAGTAATACTTACGTAATTTTGTTGAAAAAGGCAAGTTAAAATTGAGTAGAATATTAACGGAAACCACTACAAAAACACAAATACAACAAACTGCTTTCTCTTGAGAATATAAATATGACCTCTAGTCTTTTATCTTCATCCCTACTCTGCGATTGACTGAAATGAAACATGCAATAGATGGTGTAATTAAGGTTTCACTTTAAAAGTCACACATTATTAGGTTTTAATCATTATTTGTAAGGTAAATCATATATTTTTAGTATTAATTTAAAAATATTTCATTTAATATTACAGTTGGATGCAACTTTTGCTGCACTTCTAGATTTCCTTTGGATGGCATACAATGTAAGTATATGTATGAGATATTTTTAATCCCTAATCTTCAATCCCTAAGAATACAAACCTGTTTGCAATAAAGATGCTCAATACATTTTGTTGTGAGACAGAAAATAATTTTTAAAGTAAATCATATGACACTTATTGTAATCTATCAAATTACGATAACCAACCTTTTTTTAAATAAAAATCTATTTGTATTTTTTTAAATAACAATTTACAGCAATAAAAAAAATATACTACACCAGGCATAACTGTATAATTTTTTTTAACAAATTTCCTTTTTTTTTTCAGATCTACTGCTGGTTATGTGTTCTATCACAATATCAGATAATATTACAAATGCAATCTCCGAATATCGAAATACTAGTTGAATACTAGCGACACTGACACAGATAATAAAATATAGATATCGTCGGGGATAGCGCAAATCCGCGTAACTAGCATTGGATAATTCCGCGTACCTACATTGAAAGTACATAGATTGACAGAAAGGTGTTTAAGAAAAAATATATTTTCTAAATTAACGACTATTAAGGTATCTTTTTTACAATTAGTAATAAATTAAACACTGAATAATTACTAATTGTGAAAAAATTACCTTAAAAGTCCTTAATTTAGAAAATATTTCAGCTTAAACTTTCTTCGGTCAATCTGTTTCAAATGTAGATACGCGGAATTATCCAATGGGTAATTACGCGGATTTAAACTGTCCCCGACGATATATAATTATGTGTTCATCAAAAATAAAAATGGAGTATAAGCTTAATAATAGTTTTTATAGTGTCCAATTTTGTTTGATCATAAGAAGTTTACCATCCATAAGAGCTAATAGTAAGTTTAGACATATATTTGTATTGTATTTCATATATTTGTTATCATCACAATACTTAATTACTGTAAGTATTGTAGTTATACAGGAAAATGGAAGTTTCATACCTAGATTAATATTGTAGTAGATATTGAAAGAATATTTATATTTCTACTTAAACATTTTATGAAGTTTGCCAACTAACATCCTGACAAGTTAATAAGAAATAAAAGTAGTGTAGGTTTAAAGAATATAAATAATTTTATTATTAAGTTGATTACCTGTGAAAATTCCGTCCATTTTTATCATTGTTATAGAATCTCGTGAAATTGAATAATAATTAAATATATACATATGTATTTTGTATACAATAAACAAAGCACGTATAGAATAGCTATATGTTTAATTTAGAGAATAGATAATTAATATGACGTTAGCTCTTTTACGAAGTGTCTAGTAGAATTTATCTTTGCATTTTTATACCAAATTGAACAGTTATAGCATAAATATCTTAGAATCTTTTACTTAAAACTTTTTTAGTACAAGTATTGTTTTCTGAGAAACTTATAAGTTTTTAATTCTAATTTCTTTACTTTTACTTTTTTCTATCAAATGTTTTTATTTTAAAATGCAGTGAAATTATTATTATTAATATCTATATACATTTATTTTACATCAAGTGTTCTTATATAAGGTATATTAAAATTGTCAATTAATTAATACTTTTATATTATTTATCTATATGTCTGTCTGTGTAACGTTTTAACGTGAATTTATTGTTAAGACATCTGTTGCCACCGACGAATTTTTTTACATTTGTAAAGAAAAATAATAAATCGTTTACACAATATTATGGTTTTTTTATAATGTTACAAACATTGTTTTTAGTTAAACATGTTGGATATTTTAATGATTTACTGAATCGTAGTGATAAAATATTTAGTAATTGTTAATATTAATTTGTAAATTGACTCACTGTTGCAAATATAAATAGAAACTATAATAGGGTAGTTTTTAAAAAACTACTGCCAATTATTATTATGTGTTGAATGCTACGAGGGTCAAACTGAAAGTTCTTAGAAAATCAAAAACTGATTACATTATCCAGTTATTAGTTTTATCATATCTTTTCAAAATATTGTCCATTCACGTCAATACACCGCTGCATGTGATGGAACCATTGGGAAAAGAACTTTGCCCACTCATCCTTAGGGGTCTCTTCAATGGCATCGCGATACGCAGCCACCGCTTCTTCAGCATTCATAAACCGCTTTCCTTTAAGTTTTTCTTTAATTTTTGAAAATAAATAAAAATCACAAGGTGCGAGGTCGGGGCTATACGGCGGGTGACCCAGTAATTCAACGTTTGATGTCGCCAAATAGTCGATTGTTCACTTGGCGGTGTGCGACGAGGCGTTGTCGTGGTGAAGGAGGATCCTACTGCGAGGTCGTTTCTCTCGAACTTTTTCCAAGACAAGTGGCAAACAATTGGTTTACAAAAACCATTCTGCAGAAACTGTTTTTTGATCCTCTAACTGCTAACACAATTGTTGCGAAATGACATATCCTTAAAAAGAACGAGGCCACCATTTTTTTTCCCGCACTTCGATCTCTCTTCACTTTAGTTGGCAACTCCTCGAAAGGACACACCCACTGAGCAGATTGTCTTTTGGTTTCGGGATCATAATAGTAAATCCAGCTTTCGTTGCCTGTTAGTATGTCGAACACAGCATTTGAGTCACCTCCATTAAATCTTTCAATCATTTTACGGCACCACTCCATACGATGGAGTTTTTGAGCCTCAGTCAAATTATGAGGTATCCACCGGGCGTAAAGCTTCCTGACCGCTAAATGTTCGTGGAGGATTTTGTGCTTTTGACTCATAACGATGCCTAAGCTTGTCCGAATCTGGTGATAGGTCAGTCTCTATCATACGCCGCACAACACAGATGTTATCTTCAGTCGTCGTCGTAGAAGGTCGTCCCTCACGTAAATCATCATTGAGATTAGTGCGACCACGTTTAAACTCATTAAACCAGTTGTAAACAGTCGCACGAGATGGGGCCCCATCGTGAAAGGCCAATAGTAGTCTATCATAACTTTCTTGTTGACTTAAATGACATCTAAAGTCATAAAAAATCATTGCACGAAAATTTTCTCGTGTTAAATTCATGTTGACGTAACACAGACAATTTTCAATTTGCCGCCAAATCGTAAAACAAATGACAAATATATGAAACTAGCTTTTGCCGCGAGTGCGTCCGCGTGGAATAGTGACTTCCGGCAGATTTTTGGTTCTTCCCACATAGGTAGTTGCCGTTCTTGCGGGGTTTTCGGAATGGTTGAGTTCCCATAGAATTTTCAGGATAAAACCTATGTTTTTTCTATTCACAATGAAGTACTCTTAACCAACAACATATTTATTTGTTTATTTGAATAAAGATTAATATTATTATGTTGATACAACTTAAACAAATTATTTCGACCAAATTAGGAACCATAAAAACGGTTTTTGTGAGTTTATCTTAAAAGATAGACATATACTGTCGCGGACTGTTTTTTAGATCATTAAAAGAGCTATTACTCTTTAATACATATTTTTTGTGTATCTTGAACCGTTTTCACGGCGCACGCAACGGAAGGCTTCAAAGATGAAATAATTTCTCCCGTTTTGCACACATTTACCACTATTTCTTTGCTTCTATTGGTCGTAGCGTGATGTTATATAGCCCACAGCCTTCCTCGATAACTGGACTATCCAACACAAAAAGAATTATTCAATTCGAACCAGTAGTTTCGGAGATTAGCGCTTTCAAACAAACAAACTCGAAACGAAATATAATTGGTTTATTTAAAATAAATGAAAAGTATTAAAGCCAGTGATTAAACGTTAAACAATTATGATGATAAACAAGAGTTGAAATAGATGTCACATAAACAGATACTAGAATCTTTCCTCAATTTGTATAACAAATAATGTGATGTGTTAAAAAGTCAGAACATTCATATATTTATTTGATAAATATTGTATAATATAAAAATCAAAGCCTTATCACCGATAGAGAGAAGCTCGGTTTAATATTTAAATTGAGATCCTAATAAGTAATAATATAGTTTATGATATCTAAGAGTAATTTAGTGAAGGTTTTAGGGAATTATGATGATGGTCTTTTTTGAGAAGTCCAATTAGGTAGGTACTCTATTTCAAACACGAAGTATTAAGTCTAAATCGTCACAATTAGACTCACAATCCGATCAAAACTAACTTGAATTAAGTCCTATGAATAGCCTTGACTGTCGCTACTCGCTAACATTAGTGTTTTATGAATGGCCTCCTAAACTTTGACAATCTGACGATTCATCCACGTTTGTTTTGACGTTTTGTCGTTAGAGGGCGTTATGAAGTCAAATAACTCGATACTCCCCCCTCCTCCCACCATTTCAACGACGTCCTAAGAAATGGTTCGGACTCTTAGAGGCATTCACATGTAAGTAATGTCTTCGGATTACTACGCGTTAATTTATTTAGGTCTGCCATGAATGTGACATTCTCATCTCATCTGCCTGTGATCACGGTCGATATATAGTAACCGATTCGTCGGAAGTATGTAGTTTTAAAAATAATGCTTATTAATCCTAAAATGTTAGGTTCATTTAAATGAATACTCGCGAAAATCTTAGATCTCTTAGAGGTATCCTTGGGACTGGTGTGTCCCCCTGGCCCTTCAGACTCGTATTTAACGGGTAGGTTCTTTCCAGCCAGCCCCTTTCAGCTGTCTAAACCAATATGGTTAACACGTACAGTCAAGTCGAAACTAAGAAAACTTAAGTTGAAAATCTGTCACTCTTCATTGACGATGACTATTTTACCTGATGCTTAACATATTGTTTGCCCGACTGAGTGATAGGAAACTTAAATAACATTTTATCAATTTTTAGTAATATTCAACTAATATTTAAACTTTTGTAATAACCAAACCAAAACCAATGAATAAGCCGTCGTTGAGTATTAACCTTCTTTCTCAAGAAAAACATTGAAGTTCTTTGCTCTAACTGCATACGAGATTTACATTATTCCATTAAATATTAAAAGGTAAATAATAATTAGTTGAACGGAGTTTTATATGTTAATACTTTCTTCAAATATAGATATATTACGAGTATGCTCTCAAAAAGGTTCGGTGGGTACTATGCACATGTGTAAAAATTGCCAAATAGAATTAAAATAAAACGAATCACAAAAAATTCTTAATATTTTATTGGAGAGATTTCTTTCACGATATCGTCAAATAATCAAAATAATAATCAGTTCAAAAAAGAATTTAAACATAACAAATATTTTCGATACAAGCCTATTCCCAATTATTATTTTATTACAACTTTATTACAATTTATTGATAATTACCTTAAATTACATTACCATACATAACGAAGCCTATAAATCATAATGAACAACATTTCCACCGATATTGCACAATAAAATAGCATAAATATTATTTTTATTATTACCAAATAACCTCTATATATTTTAATGATTAACGCCTTTCATATTTAAAAATTAATAAAAAACTTGGACATAACAAAATTTTAACTGTTGTGAGTATTTTCAATTGTCATGTATTTGTATCTAAAAATAATTAAAAATAATGGAATGTTATAACGCTGATGATTTGTTTTAGATACCTTATTACAATCTGATTAATAGAATCCAGAGACTAAAAATATATATTTTTTGTAAGTTTTCAGTTGGCTTCGATGTTTTCTATACATTATTAAAATTTATACATTGAAGAAATCCAAACAAAATACTGCTGCCGATACAATTTTATTAAAAAATCTACTTAAGAATAAAAAGTAAATTAAAACATAACAGAAGTCTTCAAATAAAGTCCGAGAACGGAAAATATTAAACGACGTATTTACAATGAAATCTTATTTCGAATAATAGAATATATGATACAGCACTTAATCTAAAATTTACAATAAGTCCATAAGGGTATTGCCTAAATATTATACAATAATTTACAGAAAAGCTTATTAACTAACATTTAAATGATATGCAATAAGCTATGAATATAGCTTAGCGGGAAGAAACCGCATTACAACTAACAATTAAAATACTATTTTGGCTTCAACTCAACCTCAGCTTAGACGACGCCGACGAGGTTGCTTAAGGATCGTTTGACAGACTGTCAATAAGTTATGTTTCATTAACGCCATTTTATTTATGTAAAGATATTTGGCACATTTTGTCATGATTCCATTAAAATCTGCCTGCTAACATTAAATTGGGAGTCAAGTTCCTGAGTATTCACGTAAACAAGTCTTATTCGATTAATGTAACTATAATCGTAAATAAAAATTTACAATCCGAAATAAAATCTCAAGAATTTTTCGATTCACATCCAAGGAAACAAACTTTACGAGGAAAATGCCGTCAAATATTTTCCGAAACTACCGCATTCATGGCTATGAGCTGGTTGAATACCAATTAGTATTCGGTGGAGCCGATTTATCTGTTTGGTGCGAGTGAGAGGCATGAGCGGCGTGAGCCTGAGGGTGATAGAGATGGAAAGAGGATGATGGATGGAAGAATTGTGACTGGTCCAACTGAGCGTAGTCCAAAGCACCCGGAACAGCCGAATACGCTTGAGGTTTCAACGGCAGAGGTGCTTCAGAATTTATCCCCAAATATGGATGCCTTAACGCTTCAGAATATGAATTGTCATATGGTAGGGCGTATTGTTGTTTGTCTCTGGGTGACACCGACCCAGGTGGAGTCATGGCGGAATGATAATCAGCATAACCCGCATATGCTAACGACCCGATATCCGTGCCTTTATGACCCAACTGTTCACCGTATCCTGACCCCTCGCTGCCTGGTGGTGTAGGTAACGGGCCTGATTGACCATCGCTCGAATAATATCCTCCTGTCCTTCCATCACCTAAGAAGTTACTTCGTATTACACTTTCTCTATTCGCGTACAACTGCCTTAACAATGCTGATGCCGGTGTTGGTGTATGGTTTCCCGGCAACTGACGATTGAGATGGTTCAAATGATGATTTTGAGCACCGATCCACTGAATAGTTGACTTCTGTTGTTGTTGTTTCAGTAACGCATCTGTTGAAAAGTCCGTCGGTCGATGCGAAATCTCTTTACCATCTAATGACGGTAAATGTTTGGACATGGCGTTTTCTAAATCTCGAACTGATGTCGCGTCTGAAGTTTCGGGAATCGATAGATTCGCTTTGGTCATATCGCGTTCTACTGGTGATAACGCTGCTGTGGAATTCGAAGAACTCTTTCTTCGTTCTTCATCTCTTTCTGTCTCGTCGTCTTCTGTATGTTTTCTCTTCTTCAGTCTTCTTGGCATCGGCGAGGACCTTTCTTGTGTCGTGTGTAGTGGTAGAGGTTGGGAGTCGCTCAGTCTTGTTAGGTGTGTGACGTCAGAGGTTGGTGGGGCTGATGAGGTCGCGTCGTTATTAGAAGGAGGTTCTGTTCTCTCAGCTTGATGTCTGGGAGGTGGTTGACCTCCTCCGGAGTCAGCGTCAGGCGGACCGTTCTCTGGATCTCCGGTCGTCTCTTCTCGTTTGACACCCTGAACACTCTCTTCTAACTGGCAACAGTCCATAACAGTGTTCGGATATTCGCGGCCACTGTGAATAAAATTATGAAATTAATTGAGCTCTAAATGAAGAAGATATTGTTAAATTTGTTGTAGTTGTTCTTATTCTATAATACCACCCGTTTATTTTACGGACAAAAGTTTTCGAGGATGTAAAGATGTATAGGTCATTTTTGTTACTTTTTTAAAGACCAACTTCCAGATTTAATTTGATGAACCTGACCATTTACGTAGCTTTAATATTAGAATAAAGCTAAGAGGTTTCGTCTCGTCTTATTAATTTCTATCTAAAGAAAATGTCATGAAATTGAAATTCCGTATGAAGTTATATATCACATACGATAGATGGCGTTGCAAGTAACAATTTTATTAAAGAGACATGAAAAATCTCAGATTTCCATGGATTCACCGGGCGGGTGTCGGGTCCATCCTTGTAGTGAGAGGAACTTCAACAATGCCTGGGACTTGTGACCCAGGTGTAGGTTTAAGGGGCCCCTAACTAACGCTCGTTAAAAGCTCACCTCCACTGTCCAAACTCCTCTCTCTACCTCACCAAATTTTATACCAACCTACTAGGGCTGCCTTCTACCTATTTTAAGTTTCTCTCTGAACTAGTGCCATATAAAAGCGGTTGATTTCGATAGCATGAAGTTCTACGTCTATATGAGACTTACCTAATAACATAGTTGACACATATAATGTTCTGTTCCTCAGCGTTCTTCGAGGAGCAGACGACGGTAGCGCAGGTCTGCATCCAGGTGTAGCCTCCCAACTTGTTCATTATCCTGTAGTAATGGGTAAGTACTTGGCCCTTGTTCATTACTGTAACAATAACAAAATGACGTGAAATAATGTACACTTTTACAGAATCTCTACTGTTATAAAGTATGAAATCAATAGTTATCTAATAATAATTTACGAGATTTTAATATAATATTAAAAAATTAAGAGATTATTTTCAAAATTGTCTTGTTTACTACATATATTATGAGTAATGTATTTCCTTTCAATACTCATAGGCACTTATGTTATTCTAAAGACTATTTTCTTTCTAACTTCATTTACGTAGCGACACTATATAATTTGTATATTATAATATTTATATGAAGTCATAACAACGTAAAAGCAACCACATCCATACCTTAGTCCTACCATAAAGACAATTCAATGAAATAATAGCGATTAATCATGTAATTCACTGCCATAATTATATTTATTATAACTAAATCAGGTTTGATAATCATACTAGTGGCCTTGAATTAGTGACTTAATTCGTATGATGACGATCATAAGTTACAAAAGGTACGGTATATGCTAAGAAAATTCATATTAATTAGACAATTAATTAAAAATTTTCGTATATTGACTCAAATAATGATAAACGTTGCAATATTTTTGAGTTTTATTATTAATTTCTATCTAGACAGAATCAAATTGAGTTGTACCTAATGAGAATAAAACAGATTATTTTTATGTAAAAAAAATATTGCGTATAATTCAAAGTAACGATGTCTCTCGCGTGCTAAATACTTTTGATTGCATTACATTCCGTTGTTACAAAACACAAAGTGTTCGACATGTGTATTGTGTACGTGAATCATTAAGACAATCCAGCTTTTTGGTTTTGTTGTTTTATTGTGTATTGTCATTAATTGACAATGAGTCTGGCTTCGTGCCAAACGGCGTTGTATATTAAAAGAAACATTGTTGTATATACATCTCATATTTGTTGTATTTATTGTGATTTTAATAATATATATTCACAAATTTCTTAATATATTTTGTTCACTGTTTCATATAGACGATTGTTTTCGATATGTCCACCCATGACCCAATAAAAGGTGAAATCCATTTGTAATAAATGGCGTAACGTCACTTAGTATTCAATGTGTGAATAGAAATTCATGTCAAGACGAGGCTCCAAGGCAGTAGGAAAATTTACAATCGATCTCTTTAACAGTAGACGACTTTTTCCGATGGCCGTTGGGCTGTCAAATGATATATATAAAATCGCGACGGTATTCAAATAGAATATATTACAGTTAAAAAAGCTGTAGGTATTTGAGCATAAGATTGAATATGTAAAAGACAGAATAAAATAATTGTAATAAGCTGTATATACATATATTATTTTTTCTTTTAATAGCACTTAATTTTTTTTCCTATTTGACACTGTAACTAGCCAATTTCTAATGAATTTCCTATCCCATTAATACTTTTAATTCGATTATTTTAGTGATTTTCTATTTATAAGTCACAATAACTTGAAGATGATTGTCGAAGCTAGACTTCTATGAACTATGCGTCATTCGTAGCTGTAATCTATGTATGCAGGTTCATAAATGGAAATGTCTAATCGAGTTATCTACAATCGGTTCAGTAAACGTTCACATAAGGACCAATGAAGCGGAAAATATATAACCAAATAGGCTCGTATATATATTTTTCCACGCATCCATCAAAACAATTTAGGCCTAGCGCCGATTCAGTTGTGATTTGAATAATAATATCGTAGCATCATTTTGTTTCCTTAAAGCTTACGTGGGAAAAGTCGCTCCTAATGTTCGTATGTTTTGTCCTCTTTTGATATAAAGCTAATGATATATCTGTCTCGTTTTAGCGTAGCTTATCTTTTTGTTTTATATGACTTATATTTCTTCAGATATACTAAATGACATTCCTGATATGACTACGGATAAAACATTAGGTTTTCAGTTTTTTAAGCTTTATATTTCCGTTTAAGTAGAATTACTGTGACTTTTGCAAAATAAAGAATTTTGTAAGACAGTAACGAGTCTGAATATAAAATAAGACTGATAATATAATCAGTAAATAGTTATGTAACCATCAAAATTCAAGATGGCCGGCGATTAATGGGAATCACGATCCGATGACGTCACTCGGAGACTTTTTCACTACAGCCGTTGATAGCTTTACGAGAACATTAATTTAAATTTAAAATGCACAATATACAGATGCCGGTCAAATGTGTACATTTCTGTAGAATAACAATTGTACAAATTAACATAAAACACCGGGTGTTTGTTAGAAAGCGGGTAATTTGGTTACAACCGTACACGCCGATGGGATTTCTGATTTAAACATGTAAGTATATAAAGTAATAAACCAACAGGATTATACTATAAACTTCCGCCACGACGCGGTCTTAGAATTTTAAACGTACCGCTTTATTTGTTTATTATTATTACATTTTTTATATGTTAAAAGCCAAAGTACTGTATTATACCAAAATTTAATGTTCTTTCAGCTTCCTACATACTAATTGGCTATCAACTGTCCTGTTATTCACAATTCGTTCGTACTGTATATTCCTGGTGCAAGATATATGAGTGTCACTTACAGTCTACGTGGCATTTTCTTAGTTTGTTAGCATCTTCTCCATGGCAGAGCGCGTAAAGATTCTTCCCTGTAAGTTCCTCAGCTGTATATCCCAGAAGTTCCGAAACTCGGCTAATAAAATAGAAAGTAAAATTAAATATTTATTGAAATTACGTCATTCGATCATGCAAAGTCCTACTAATTTTATAATTGCGAAAGTTTGTTTGTGTATTTTTTTTTTTTTTTTTTTTTTTTTTTTTATGGGAAAAGGGGGCAACTGAGCAGACGGCCTACTTGATGATAGGTAGTTACCGTCGCCCATGGACATCCGCAACGCAGATTTGCGGATGTGTTGCCGCCCTTGATTGGGGAAAAGGTGGGAAAGGGAGGGAAAGGAGAGGTTGGGAAAAGGGAAAGGGCAACCGGCTCTCTCACTCACCGGACGAAACGCAGCCTTTAAAGACTACTTTACGCCGATTTTCTGTGAGAGGGTGGTACTTCCCCGGTCGAGCCGGCCCATGTTCGAGCTGTAGTAAATTGACTACAGCTAGGCTCTACCACCACATGTATGTTTGTTACTTCTTCACGCTCAAACGGTTAAACCGATTTTGATAAAATTTTGTATACTTTACATCCCGGAAATCCGTTGGTAACACCGCGGGGCGCAGCTAGTATATGATAAAAATAAATAAATATAGTATACCTGGGCTCGCAATGCGCTATCCTGAAGTCGAAATTAATTCTTGTAACGAACATGTCAGACTCGAGCCTTATCTCGTGAACCGATGGTGGTGGTAGGGCGATGGCTAGTGCCACCATCCCGAGCAAGGTTGGTGGTGTCTTCCGACTGTGAGAGAACGTATATTGAGGCCGAAGACGACATAGCATAAGCACCACCTAGAAAGAAAATATATAATTGTAAAAGACTCAGCTTAAAACATACTATTACCCCGCCGTTCTTGACGATAGTTCCTAAAATTATATATAAAAATATTTGGTATATCCTTCAAGTTTGAAAGTAATGAGGCTTTATATTATCGTGATAATATATCAAATTAATTTCTGTACACACATTTGATATCTCAACTTCAATATATCCTTATAAGTTTCGTCTAAACTTAAAGTATACTAATACGAAACGTGGTTTATGGAAAGCAAATTTCAGATGCAAAATTCAGTCGTAAAAGACGAAGTCACGTCCTCCAGGTAACTCCGAGCTCCCGAATTCAAGAAGGTTGAACTAATTTTAAATTTTAGCAATAAACGCTTCGCCTCTGGCGCTCTACCCATATAAAGGGTTACAAACGATTTCTCTAATTGCAATATCGATATTTGCGAATAGCATGAGCAATTTAGATTTAGATAAACACGAATTATGGGTGTTAGTTGAAGTACTAATCATAAGATTTATTTAGCTATATATTCACGTTTGCACCAAGATAATTCTAGTTCATATATTGAGTCAAATATCCTCTTGAGAAAATCAGTTTTAGATAGCTTACAAGAAATAAATATTAAACTGAGTTGTCAAAATAATGAAATAAAAAAAGAAAAATCCAACGGTAACAATCTATTACAAACAATTTTACGGTTCTAGTACGTTATTCTCAAGTCACTGGAGATATAATCGCGTTTTATGTTCTAGCACCGAGTTAGGCAAAAATTATGGGCTCGCAATTCGCCTTGGGGCACCCCACGCGGCACAATAACTCTTACAATAATATTTGTGATCTTCAACGGATAACGCCCGTGCGAAATTATTTAGGAGTAATACAATGATAATACCTATATCTATGGGAGTAATACTTAAATGTTATACGGCTTTTAACAGTTTACTTGTTAGATGGTTATTGAAAAGACTTCATATAACAAGTTATGGGACATCTTACACGAATCCAATGCGTCGTGTAATCTAAAAACACTTCTCCTATAGATACCTACCCGCCAATTACCACATTCTCCGTTTCTGGACGTTTCCCCGTTGCTTCTTCCCACCTAGATCGAAAACGAAAATAGTGTCTATTTACTTCTAAAGTAATAGTTCCACGAATTTTCATAATCCATCTATAGATATAGCTCAACACCAAAATTTTATCATACTGTGTTAATACTACTAATAGGTATACGTAGGTTAAAATGCATAGTTAAATGTGTTATCATTGCATGTTATTGCATAAACTGAAGTTGAAACAGAAGTGCACTCAAAAACATTGATTATATTCATTACAATAAAGAACAAAATTTTTTGTGATTCTGTTGTAACTTCAGTTTTAACAAATACATTTAATTCTTACCCTGTATCCAGAAGATTTGAAATGACAGCCACGTTTTGTAAGAGTACTCTTCATTCTGACACAAAAAGCTCGATCCATGCCCCGGAATAACGCCCCACTAGCAGCTAGTGTCATTTGTGCTGATACTGTTGAAGAAATTTTACTATATAGATACATTTACATATTAATATAAAAAAAGTTCTTCGAAACTGCTTATTGTAAAAAGGATGCCGATTCATAAATACTCTTAATAAAAGTATATCTAACTGCATTAGTTACGTACACTGCACTTATTTCAATGTTTTGCCATTGACTAACTCTAATTTCAAAGTAACTGTCTATAGTATTTGAGTTTACATAATATTTTTTATGGCTACTATAACGACTGTATGGCTAGGAAGTTCTATTAAGGATTCAATAATATCATTTAAATGAAACTCAAGCGACGCTGGGTTAAAATGGGTGACGTTAAACGTTTCGAATCAAATGGAGTCATTGATTACGGTAGACATTTAATTATCGTCGTGGTAGCGAGCTGGTGGCAACGCCTTAATTGATTTCATTGATGGTTCGAGCTGAAAAAACACAAGTTCTCAAACTTTCACAACACTACAAGGGACTAAAAGATAGTCTTTATTAACAATTATATTATCAGATTAATATTGTATGAATCAATATTCGTATTTCTTTTTTTAATGAATGTCTAATAACTTATTGGTCGAAAGACGAACAAAGCTCGTATGTACAAATACGATATGAGAAAAAAAAAACAAAGAAATCCCGATATTCTGTGATTCATATACGAAAAAAACCAGTGCGTAAATTGTTACTCATTTATTCAACCTCTAACCTACATTGTTCTCAAAGATATTCCACAAAAAAACTTTAATTCAATCTCTTTAGTTAGTTTATATACGATTGAAAAGAAAAGAGATCTTGTAGTTTTGGAAGCACTGTATTTTAAACTATCATTTCCGTAGACTTTACAGGACGTTATGTTGTTATCCACGCGTTTCACTTTCGACAAGCCTGCCCTTAGAGCAATTCTGAACACAATCGGGATCTGTCACATGCAACTTGATTGATTTTTTTAAAAACTCCTAACGTAACTAAATTGATTCCTTACGTGACGTAGCTGGTGAGGTCCAAATCACCCAATTAAGGAAAGGGAATTTTGTAGTTTAAACTATGGTCATGTTTTTTGAAATATATTTAAGTCAGAAAATTGTTAAAACTTTTTTAGACTTGTTATAAATTTTTTAAGTTCTGAAATTCAGTTGTTTCATATTAAAACAATTTCATTTAGAATGGTTTATAAAAATAATTATGTTATAAAATTAAAAGTAACAGAGCGTCTAATCAAAATATATGATTTTCTTAATATATTAGGTATATTGGTTATATTATGTAATTAAATTGAGAAATGACATTTGAGTTAACTCTCCGCAGAGATAGAAAATAAGTTATATAATAGATCAATTCTTTCCCATAACGATAAAATTATATTAATCAACACCATAAAAGTGTTCTTGGCTCCCCATTGACCGTTTTATAGACCAGCACCGTGAATAAGTCCAAATTTAATTTCAATTTGGTGCACAATTTAAAGCATTATTGTCAGACTATTGAATGAATTTCTGGGATCAGTACAGCATCTATGAAAGGTGCATTCGCCACAAGGAACTTTAATTAAATTCTGTTTATTTTCTTAGTTTTTTTGGTCGCCCGAACTTTTTACTATACATTTTAGCTAGACAACTGATAAGTAGATTGGCTAACGGTGTCGACGCTCTATTTTACAAATTATGATTACTTAACTTTTTACGCGATTTTAATTTTAAATAAACCTGCATTATTCTTTTCATTGTGTGTTTTATGACGGGGCTCGACAAAAAGTGACACTATCTAACCGCGGAGTTTTTACACAACTATCACGTTATTTTGATGAGAATTTTATTATTATTCGAAATTATTATATTGATTTACAAAGTGCTTTTATTAAAATATATAATATGTAGAAACCTATAGACATATGTCCAGGTAAAATACTCTTAGAAAGTACATATGACTCGGAAAAATCACATTGGTACTCGCCAGGATCGAAGCCGCTTCCTCATGTATGGGAGGCGGGCCTTTTAACCACTAGGTCACTACTACCGAAACTCCTCAAATATATGATCACAATATGTATGACAACAGATCAAAGTCCGTTTAGAGTTTAGCATGTGATTGTAGTTTACATTTCAATCAACAATACGTATCACATAATGTTTGTCTCTTCAACGCCGGTCATCATCGGGGCTTTACACATAATTCATCTAATTTGCATCTCAATTACGACCATTTTGTATAAACCGCGCATAAGCCGGGTCAATAAATTGCGACATTCTGCTATCGACGTTTATGTTAAGCATTCGATTATTTTGTTTAAAGAGATAAATTTTGTAGTTTTAACGATTTCAATACAAATCACAGTTAAATGGCATGTAAGATGAAGTTATTTTAATTTAGTTTATTTAATTAAAATGTTATTAATGTATTATTGTGTTGTGATGTATTCAAGTGCTGAATAATATGAAAGAGCTACATACATATACCAATACGTTTATAAATCAGTTACATTATTTTTATATAAACAATTTTAACGTCATGTAGAGAACGAATATATAAAGAATTACTAGTTAATGAATAGTATATTGTGCAACTAGTGCGAGAAGTTGTCACATTAGTTGCCCAATAATAATGGGAGTATTTGTTGTTATTTATTTTATTTTTTATAAGTTTCTTTCGCGAATTCGGTTGCGAGAAGTTTACTTGTCGCACTGAAATCGACATTTAATTGTGAAGTGGGCAATTAGCGTCTTTTCGATGCCAAAAGCAAGCGCAAAGATAGTACTTTCCCCGCATGAGTAATGAAAAGTGTCTTTATTCTATATTTTAGTTAACTTTGGTAGGATAGCTCATGTTTGTTTGGTGTTAAGGATTATTCTCAACATACCATCAGGGTTATTTGTCCCATGTTGACTGCCCTCCTCACTGCCTGATGCTGGGCTGCTCAAACCAGCGCCCCCTCGTCCTGCGAGTGATAGTCCAAGCTGTTCCGCTATCTCCGCGTGGTCAGCCTGATGTACGTAGTCGAATATACTGCTGCCAGTCATTTCTACCTGAAAGCAAAGGCTTATTTCACTGACGCCAACAACTATGTAAATAATTAAAATTTAACGTGAAGGCAGGAGCTACAAATTTTATTTCAGTTCATGCTAACTAGGGATAATTCTGTAGATTCTTACATTTAGTAATATATAAGAATACTAAAAGACCCGGCGAACTTCGTATCGCCCTATAATCAAGAAATATCGGTTACGTTTTTTTATTTATATTTTTGGATTTTATCTATTAAAGCCATAAATCTCCGTGTTTTGAAGTGCGACAGAATGATTGACATATTAGTTAGTCGTCAAATCTAATGTCAAACAACAACGTTTGTATCAACAACTACTAATAAATTAAAAAATAATTAAAAAACATAATTCAGCGAACAAAATTGTGAATCTAAACAATTCCCAGATCCCCTTGAACACACACAAAAAATTTCATCAAAATCGGTCCAGTCGTTTGAGAGAAGTTCAGTGACATACACACTCACCGAAGAATTATATATATAAAAATTACTAAATGTAAATTTAAGTCAATATCAAACTTTAATTGATCATGAAGTATGGTTGACATGTTAGATAGAATTTTTGTAGCAGGAAATATTTTGTCATCAAAAGCTTATACATAAATTGAATTCTAAATTCCTATTATTTAACCGGTAGCTGTTATTTTTAAATTGTATCTTATGTTCTTTGTTTTAAGGTTGTATATCGCAAATCTTTATAATATGGTTGGTAGTCAAATGAAGACACCTCACGTACTACGATGGTTATGAATGAAATAAATGTTATCATACATCGTGTAGCAGGTGACCATGTTACTAACAATATACCTCATAAACTGGAAGCTGGTCACATGATTCATTAAAAGAATCTCAAAAATTAACACAAATGATTGAATTTTCATGTAAGTAATAAGCCTAGGAAATAGAAGTTTGTTTAAATTAGCATTAAGCTATTAATTAGATCATTCTAATAGGTGTGAATGCAATAAGTAATATAAATATCTCATCATCAAATTCGGTAACCGCTATACAATCAACATTGCTACCTGTTGCTATCTAACTTTCTTGCGTCCTTTCACGGCGTATGCTAATGTATTAAATATATTTATCAAATATAATTGTGGGACCCTATTAGGCATTCAGTTGTCGTGTATCCGCAGTACTGCCTCGCATGTGAATACATTGAACAATGGTGACGTTACGGTGGTCGTTTCTGGGAAAGATCCTAAGAATTTTATGGCATTTACCGATTCAGCGATTGACGGCCCACAAATTTAATGTTGCTGACAGGTGATGCTAAGCTGAATAAATTATTTATCAAGCTAACGCTGTCGTGACCGTACATAGCTTAGTTGCTATCTGTTAAAAGGCCGATGATAATATTTAGCATTTAATCAGCGTTTTATAAACAGTGAAACGTGAATCGTTTCAAAGATCATCGTTCTTTACCAAATAGATTCTGGTAACCGAAAATAATGAACCGAGAAGAAGCATCACGTAAATAATTTTGAAGGAAGGGTCGGAACATGTCAAAACAAAAAGTAAAATATCCATTTTCTGATTTATCTATAAGAGAAAATATGATTCGCTATTGTCGACGAAGTCTTTGTTCCCGAAAAAAATGGTCTCAACTGAATTTAATATAACAGGAGCGTCAGACAGGGCTGCTTATAAGAAAGTTGTATCTGCTTATTTACCAGGAAGTTTATGTATTTTACGTGTACACACACATGTGTGAGTGTTGTCCATATGTTAGGTGTTTGGATAATGTTTGTGTATGTGTGTGTGTCCGGGGGTGTGTGAGTTAACTTTGCAGCATTAGGATGAGCAGCACGCGCGCGCCTGGCCCGGACGTGACCGGCATCTCTCATTGTCCCTTTCCCCCCATCTTCCATCTCTCTCACACCACCCTCCAGCCATTTTGGATCAACCGTTCCACAATTTTCAGATCTTTTCCTTTTCGTTTTAATTTTGTAATGTTTAATTTCATCTGGATGTAAATTTCTGGTTCACGCTAAATAATTCCACTCCTCTCCGTGACGGTGTTAATGTACAACAGAAATATTTTCCTCAATTAAATTTTACGTTTAAAAAGCGGAAATTAATAATATAAGACTTGAATCAAATTACTTTATATACAAAGTAAACAAGATATTAAATAAGGTTGAATAGATAAAGTTATATGTGGATCATAAAAAGTAAAACGAGATTGTTGGAATAAGAAAACACATTCATTCATAGTTTCCACATGAGCATACTGATACTATCGCCCGGCGTTACTTACATCCGACTGATGAGAGATAAACTCTACGTGGGTAGTTTACAACCAGCGCGGCCTACGTATTGCTTGTTAAAAACATCTTCTCAGTGTTATGAACATCAAAAAAGGCATTTTTGAGGTAGCTTCGATATTATTTATAATTGAATAAAAAATATATTACAATTATTATTAGCTCTGCTACTAAATCCAGTTTGTAATATGCCTAATATTTCAATTTGATTTATAAGCAATATACGTTCAATAAATGAAACTAATATTTTTCGGATACTTTTCAGCTACTTTTCACGTTTCGGTTACTTTTCAGCAACCGTGAGGCAGACCACGGGCAGTTATTCATCAACCGCCATCGATTTCTTAAATTCCTAGGTTACTCTCATTTAAATGAATAAAACTCGCAAAAGTCTTATCTCATTACCAGTTTAATAATTTCAATGCATGATAGACAAACCAATATAATGTGTAACTAGCTTTATAAACCATTCGAGTCACATCTCACCAACTGTCAACATTTAAAACTAACGCCGCATTGACAAATCAACTAATAAAATCATTAGTTGTTCAGTCTGCATATTAAATGTACGTAAGTTGGCACTATTAATGCTTTATTAATACTATTAGATTACATTAATAAATATATATTTATGTATTAGTGTATACACATCCTGGAATAAATTCCCTTTTGATTGACACATGTTAATTTAGAATAATATTTACTTGATAGGAATTATTAATGAAGGGTTTGTATAAAACCAAATATATCTTTATCAAACATCGAATATTAGGAACCATTTTTCATACATAATTTGTGACATAAACCAAACAAACATATATTGTCGGGGTTAGTGCGAATCCGCGTAAAAAGCATTGGATAATTTCGCGTATCTACATTGAAAGTAGATTAGGTATTATCAGACGCAGGGTTGAGGTGAAATATTTTGTAAATATCGCTTTCTAATGTATTTTTTTGTAAACTAAATTACTAATTATGAGAAAATTACCTTAAAAGTCGTTAATTTAGGAAATATTTAAGCTTAAACTTTCTTCTGATAATTTGCTTCCAATGTAGATATACGAAATTATCCAATGCTAGTTTCCGGGTATGCACTGTCCCCGAGGATATGTAAATTTTACTAAATTCTATTGAATATAATGAACATACTTACTTGTGATAAACCTAAGTATATTGACACTGTTTCTGATATATAGAGGAATCTGCCGTCTGCAGCCACCGAGAGAGCAAACCCGTCCAGACTCTGTTGAAAAGATAATATGTATATTTATTAATCAAAAATACAAATATCATTATATAATACTAGCTTTCCGCCCACAGCTTCGCCCGCGTGGAGGTCGGTTATATCGCGTTTCCAAGAGAACCTTTGAAAAGTCTGGGATAAAAACTATCCTATGTTCTTTCTCAAGGTCAACTCTATCTCTGTACCAAATTTCAGTAAAATCAGTTCAGTGGTTTAGGCGTGAAAGCGTAACAGACAGACAGACAGAGTTACTTTCGCATTTATAATATTAGTAGGGATGTAGGAGTAGTTGACGCCACTGACAGACGGTGATGGAAAACATCGTGAGGAAACCTGGACTTATAGTTTCACAATTATAAGTTTGAAATCACCTACCCATCTTGAGCAAGCGTGGTGATTAATGCTCAAACCTTCTCCATGTGAGAAAGAGGCATTTGCTCAGCAGTGGGCTCTGATAGGCTGATGACTACTTATAACCTTATATGACTATGTGTAAATAGATAGATATACTATAAAAACGGTATTTTAAATACATAACATTAATTAATGTTTATGTTATTTTATATATATTTAAAGAAATTTAATCATCATTAAACGATCGTGGTCCCTGTATGAAGTAATCTTTAAGGTTCGTGAAGTGTACAGAGCAATATTACATATAATAATCTTCAACAAGTTAATTCTTGAAATCTTATGTAAATAATTATTACGATATTTTTACCTCAAAATATAAGTATTATTTTATATTACAGTATTTGAATTATTATCGGAAACTTAACTCAATTGTGTTAAAAATTAATAATATTTTTTATATTTATAAATCTCTATAGCTGTTCATCATTTCCTCAAACGTCTCCAAATCACAGCTGGTGGCATACAAACATATAATTTCTTATTGAAGGTACTCTGAATTACAAAAAACTTCAATTATACCTCCGACTTATATTTTTTTGCAAACAGTACTTGATCTAAGAAAAAACATAATAGTTTCATATTCATGAATTTTGTGATCATACAAAAAAAGACAAAACAAATAATTTAACAGACGAAAAACTGTTATGATTCGACAGAAATTATAAATGCACTATATTAATGGATGCGGCAATAAATAAATATGGGAATTATTAAATAAAATTTGCTAATATTTTTTATATGTACATTTTAATATCTATATTTCTTGAGGAAGCGATGATTCGGTCTGGTGGTAATATTTTACAAGGTCAAGGTTCTATTGGAACAAATAAGATATCCTTGTATTGAACAATGAACTGTACTTTTATGAATCATAAAACTTGAAAAAAAAATACGGTGTGCAAATAAATATTAAATATAATTTAGTAATGCCGTATCCAAAATTTATAACTCAATGTCGTAATGATAGTTGACAAAATAGTTGTTAAGTTGGATGTTTTTTACTTAAAACTTCAATTAACCGGTTGGTGGAGAATAAGAGTAAAAGTTAGTGGACCGTTTTTATTGTTTCAACTACGACGCACTTATGCTTCGTATATTATTAGAAGTTGTTTTAGTACTAGGGTTTTTTATATTTAATAACGATTGAAATAACCTCCACGGACTACGGATGTCCTAATTTTTTGCACAGAACTTACAAACAGTCCCGCAATGTGCACAAAAAAAAACTACAAGGAATCACGTACTAACCCATTCCCAATCCGTAAGAGAAACCGCAGCGCCCACAATGTTATATAGATTGCACAAAATCATAATTTACGTGATCTAATGACACTATAATCGATTTTTTATAACATTATACTCTAGACGTATTGAATCAATATTATTTACTTTATATACGCGAAAACTATAAAAAAATCATTTGTTTTAACATAAAAATGTCTTAATTCTGTAATGTTTGACATTGAACAAAACTAAGATCTCTGTGACAGATAATAACTAGATTTTCCGTGATCTTGAACCTCATTGCGGAACTGCTCTCATAATAACGGATAATCGATTAACGAAATATTGCTATCGATTACAAAGCATCTCGATTTTTTATATCAGAATCGTTATAGCGTTCGCACTTGACCGATTTTTATAATAACAATATACTTAATTATTTTAGTTAAGAAATTTAGGTGAAATCGTCGAAATATTAAATTAAAATGTTGAAAGTATGTTTGGACACTTGTACGTTCTATTGTGTTGAAGCTATTATAGCGTTATAAAAAGCATGAAGTCGGCCAGTTGGGCAATGAAGTCAAGTTCGATTGTGTTTGGAGGTGACGAAAAGTAGCAAACTTTGACGATAGAAACTCGGAGTTTGTGTATAAAACTCGAACTTGAAATAAAATACTTGACCTAATAAATCAATAATTTGTTTGACAAAAAAATATTTTGCTTCGCAACTCAGTGAGTATTTGAAATGAGTACGTTTCAGATAATATTTTGGGATGACTTTAATTTTACGTGTATCATCCAATTCGTCAATTCAAATAAGATCCATTAAAAAACTATCCCTTCATTAAGGGCCCAAAAAATTCACAAGTAATATATATTTAGCTCATCTTTACTCAGATTATGTTAGGTACATAGAGTTAGGTTAAATGCTACTTTATAAATATGATTGTTTAAGGTTTAAGTTTGTATGTATGTAATATTTACCTGTAGGATATGTGTTCCCTGATGCTGTTCAAACAACTCCATAGCCAGCCCCGCTGGGGTTCTTCTATTCTGAGTTCCTGTAATAAAACATTAATTAATATATAGCTGATAACAAAAATGGCACTTACTAACTAATACATATACATATGTAAGTTCAAAAACTTGTAAGGATTCAAGCATAATTCTTGCTCTTTAATGTTAAATATATAGCACATTTTTTATATAAACTTCTAATAATGAAGCTTAGCTAAAGAAGAACATATGGGCTATAATTTGTCCTGTCATTCCATGTACTTTTATTCGGTAATATATCATAATAGTTGTATGTAGCTTAAAGTAACGTCATAAAGACGATAGATGTCGCTACCGGTTGGTTAACGTATGAAGTATCAATTCAATACACATTTTTCATATCTCTTTAAACACAATAGAAACTAAAACTATATAATCATTACTCTAATTAAATAAATAAAAATATTTCGAGGACTTTCCAAAACGAATACAAATATGATTTAATACTAGCATAAAGCAGTGCTAACAAAAAATAGTATTATAAAACTCGTGTCATTGAGAAGAACAAAGGGCTTGTCGTAAAAAGAAACCCGACACTGCGATCATATCACAGTAGCATCTCCACGAGATGGTACGAACACCATTCACACCAAACATACATTTAATATATAACTAGGATACTGACGGCAACTATAAAAACATCAACAATATAACATAACATAATTTTAAACTTAATATTATACTTTGAAATTGGTGAAAACTATTTTTTTTACATTGTGATAAATGGCGATTGAAAAAAGTCATTTGATTCAAATTTTATAAAGAATAAGTCGTTGACTTTCGCATACAAATTTTATGGCCATTTACTTCGATATATATTTTTGGTGCTTATTTCCTAAGAGTGAAAATGAAAATATTTGAAGGGTTTACAAGGATTCGAGGTAGAAAAAATAATTGTAAATATGCACCATATCGTATGAAATCCGCGACATATTTGTTAGTAGTAGAACGACGAATATAATATGATACATAGAGCAATCAGTGTGATGAATAGGCTTAGTACCAGTAAATTCTTCTGCCTACATTTCTTACGCAAAAAAAACGCTACTTAAATAATAAACGCGCGTAAAAAACGCTAACGTCAACTAAACAATGTGTACTGATGAATGTTTGATGAAAACATTGAAAGTGATTGACACAAGGCCGCCTCGTGAGTCGTGAAGACGGCTAGTTCACGATCAACTCGGACTAAGACACTGGCGGCTGTTGTCACGAAGTGAGTAACACGATACTTGTGATACTTGATGGGAAATAACATCACACCCTTCAGTATTACCCACACATACTATGGGTATACAGTCGTAATAACTATAGATATATTTATAGATAAAAATATATGTAACTTAACTATTGCTGCAATTAAACATAACTGTCAAAGTAAAAGTCGTATATTTTCATAAAAACCTATTAGTTTTTGATTTAAACTATAACATTATACATATATATGGTCTTACTATAAAGATAAATAAATGTTACAAATAAAAAATGCATACATTTCAAACAATTCAAATCAAAATCTCGAGAGCCTTGACACAACATAACTTGGAATATAATTTAGAATTTCGTACACAATAAACTATTGCTACACTTAGTTGAATGTTATGCAAAACAATGATAATTTAAAAAAAATAATACATTTTATAGAACAAATGAATCATGGCAAGTTTCTCTGTACATTTTACCGATGCTTATCTAGTTTTAGCATTATAATATATATCATAATATTCAAAATGTAAGTAAATATGAATATATTGTACAATTGTCATACTGTTTAAATAACGTTGTCACAAGAAGCCAACCGTAACAAGGAACAAAACAAACGTTTATATTATGACTTTATACAGATAGGGTGAATATGATTTGGATATGTTGAAGGATTATAATTTAATACTTTTATTATATAATAAAATTCTTTTATTTCGTTTTTTATTTATTTAATTAAGTCTACATTTTGTTATAACTCATGTATACCATACTTTGAATTTATTAGATACAATAATGATTGTATTAAGCAAGTGTCAGTTGTCATGTTTTGACATTAGTAGAAAATTTCGTGTGCTTTATTTTTCTATATATATAATCTATAGGAACCATATGGATACCAGTTATATGCATTTGTATTTCAAGTAATTACTTTGTAAAAATGAACTAAAATATCTGTCCCATAGAAAGCATTACAAATCTTGAAAAAATATGGCGTACTGTTAATATAATCAACAAAATAATTATATTTAAAAGGTTCTTAATAAAAATCTACTAACTTGACTCGAAACTAAAACAGTTAAAATAAGTAAGAAACCGTTAATTTCATACAAAAATCAATTTAAAGTATCAAGTTGTTTATAAAATACATGAATCCGCGATACAATCAAACAATGGTCGCTTTACAAAGCCAGGTCGGCTATATCAAAGACTCGGAGTCTGTTGAATTAAATCGTAATAAAGCACGCTCCGACTATCTCGACATGTCGGGTTAAATATAGTTTGCGGCCCAAATCTGGTATGTGAACTTTTATTTTTATCAGTGTAAAATTTCAGGGAAGATTGGGACATTAGATTTGGCTTGAAAGATTCAGATTTTTATACTATAAAGATTATTATATGAGAAAGAAATAATGAAAATGTACTATATAAGTACTTAATAAGTGTTCAATTCTGTACTTTGTTCTAGATCTCACTTGCAATTGTAAATTGAGTTGTTACATTTCAATAAATAATTAACACCTTTATAATACGTTTTATTCTGTTTTATAAAATACATTTATAAATCTATAACAAACTGTCAATCAAAAATGATCTAAATATATATAAAATTAAGGTTGTTATTTTAATGAAATATTCTAAACACACTTGAAGTTATGCTTATAACAGTAATACCATCGCTTCAGATTACTAACCAATTTGTTCTAATCGAAACCGAACTGATAAATAAAACAATTTATTTTACCCGATCGACCCCAAGAACAAATTTTTATTAACGTCGCTAAGACTCGGCATAATTTTCTCATTACGTAGACCGGTGTGGTATTACTCTTAAGTCAGATACAGTGTCATAATGGTTGTAATTTTGGTGGTATTAGGTACTAGATAAATAAATGAAGAGAAACTAATATGCTTTCTTTCATAATATTCATATCGTGCAAGCAAAAACGAATTTTATTACCTGTTTGAACAAGAAATAAAATTGTATACATCTCACTATTAAATGAATATAAGATAACAAATATATGTACATTTAAAACTCTATATATCATATTAATATAAATACAAATATATATTGCAATATAATATAAGTTCTATATGTACCAAAAGCAATTTTTCTTACTATTTTGGTATAATGAAAGCAATCGACACATATTTATAGAGAAAAGGCAATAATTTATCAGTATTTGTCCATCCGACGTACGGACAGAGCTAACATTGATCGGGGGTGTTTTCACAGGGCGAAATTAAATAAAACTCAACGCCTAATAAACTGAGGGGTGACCACAACTTTATTCTATACTACTACTATTATATATTATTACTATAACTTCTATTCAAGTTATAAATGAAGAATATTAACTTATTTATGGAGAATTTGAGAAATTATTACGTTTTTTTATAGATTAATAACATAAACGAAATACTATTTTAATTCATTACTTTATCTTTTTCGATTGAATATTGTGGAGAAAATTTATTGTTTGTGTTTTATTAAATTCTGTAACATTTATATATATTTTATGTAACGTAAGTAAAACAACAAAAGTTCCCTAGAATAATACAAGTGAGTCTTTGATTACAAACCCCAGGGGGCACCACTTGACCGGAGTCGAACTAATGAAGAATCACCGAGTCTGTGGTGGCTTGACTTAAAAATAAGTTAAGGGATCTTTAACTCAATTGTATGGGAGAGGTAACTCAACAAACCTATAGAAAATGTTCAAAAACATTATACCTATACTATTATGTACTTATCTACAATATCATTTTGATAACTGTATATGTATTTGTTGTACGTATGTGTGTGTATGTGTGTGTATAAGCCTATAGAACCATTATCAGCCCGTAATATAAGTGAGAAATTCCAAAAAATCACGCTAGCGTACCATAATGAATTGTAACTAGCCAATTACATGGACGAATAACCCTTCAATCGGCGTCCGGGTCGAAGCGACCGGATCGATACCAAATAAAAATAGCTTCGAAATCCCGGAAAATGCTTCGCTATTCAGAACACGTACTGTCAATATAGAATGGCAGGGCGATGATTGTGATGCACCAAGGGACCCAAAAATGGCCTTTCAGCAGTGGATTGATAATAAACGAATACTACAATATCGTTTTTATACCCGAAACACTGGCGCAGAGACTGTCCAATATTATAACAATAAGTGCGAGCGTCTCCTTACTTTATATTAGTATAAATAGCAGATTTCAAGCAGAAATTTGATATAATTAGATATATAAATTCATCACTGTATTATCTGAAGGACAATCCCTACATTGGTATCACATACGAGGATAAAGGAGTTCATTAAAGATGGATTAGGAAGGGTTAACTTAGTAGCAGGATATCTTCAAAGTATTAAAGGTAAAGAAAGCCTGGTAGGATTACTAGCTCCATATACTAAAGTATTGTATATACTGTGAAAACTATATAAAAAGGTAAAAGTAAATCTCACGAAGGAACCTTGGGAACAATCTAAGAAAATGATTAAGCTATTAAAGTTTAGTAGTTGTAAATATTTCGATAGAAATTTCGTTCTCAGTACAAAACCAGTCGATGTCTTTTGTTCCACGTTCATAGGAAGATATATTCTAGCGTCTACTAGGGATATTGATTTGTGGTTTGAAAACAAAGTTATAGTATTTTTTTTCCATTATTCATATAGAAAAAGAGTATATTTTATAAAAAAAATAATATCAAATGAAACATTGTTTACAAACAATGAGTACATACTTATTGTAGGCGCTAGATGTCAAAGATCAACAATTATAATCAAAAATTACCTTCTACTATCATAATTAAGGTAATTTACAAATATCATATATTAATATTAAAGACAAAGACGTCTAGAAAATATTGTGAAAATCCAATATTTCCGTTAAACCCGCTTTGTTCCTTTCCCTTATTTATTGTTATTTTTCTATTTCGTTGGCAGATGTGCCGTGCTATGATTTACGATACACGTGTTAAGAAACACCCACTACTAGACGGTCAACTATTATATTTACACTTACTATTAATTTAATAAATATTCACTTACACAAAATAACATTGTAAGCATTGCTTATGATAGAAACGAACTAATTATTGTGTATCTTCAATCAAATTCACATTTAATTTAAGTTATTCTGATAGTTTAAATTCTCCTCATCTCATAGATACTGTTATGTATTTTTAAAATACATCTTAGAATATTTAAAGGCTATAAATATGAAATCAAAACCCCGTTACCGAACGTTCGTTTCGTATAGGCTCCCTCGCGCCATAAATCAGCGGTGCTGCCATCACACGGCAATATGGGGAACAAAACATGTGTTTACCACCAAGTTAATTTGTCGAATTTATCTGGCTGTCTCTTTATTGTATTGAGAAATATAGCTTTTATTTGTTAGAGATTATTTACAAGATATTAAAATAAACACTGACTATCCTTTATTCAGTATTGGTTATTGAAAAGGCTATCAGAGATCTTTCAAGGAAGCTTACATTAACAAATGGACGTAACTGATTAATTTTGTAAACATTAATGCGTAATTTTACAGTGATGATAAATGCATTTAACGGTGCCATCAAGAATAGTCTTTGAATATTTTTTTATATTATTATATAAATAATTAAGCATTACTTCAATGGCATTAATTTCACCATATTTCAAACATTTTTATTTGAAAAGAAATAAGGATAGTGAAACATTATCACAAAAACAATTATGACTAATATGAATAATTTTCTCATCTTGATATGTAATATTAAATGTATATATACATAGAGACTTAGAGGTAAGTTTTTTGCTTTTAAAAAAACTAGATATATAGATAATGATACCTAAGACTTTCGTGAGTATTTATTTAAAAAGAAACTAACTTACATACTACCAAATATACTACTCGTTTTATTTTAAACTACATACTTCTAACGTTACGGTTACTTTTGCAGCAAGCATGATCATTGGCAAACAAATTTTATTCAGACATATCATTGTTTTAGCTACAAAAAATCTTCCACATTAACAAAACAGATTCACAAGATGCCAAACAAACAAGACCCGCCCACTGACATCGCTCGCATCAAACGAAATATCAAACTACAGTTCTATCCCAAAACAAGAGAGTCCCAAAATTAATACAGCTCCAATTATACTTGCAGACAGTACTGTAAGCGGGATTTGAATAAAACAAGTCACGTTCGTCAAATAAGCAGTACTAACAAGCGGTGTATCGCTAGCACTGATTGTTTATTGATTAGATTAAAAAATTTGTTTCAATTCAACGTTATTGTTACGCTGGGGTGTATAATTACATGTTATTTGAGGTGTCATTTACAATTTAAATGTTTACTGATTGAATTATTTAATTAGGTTTAGTTAGTATGGTATAGGATTTAGAGATTAAAAATGTTTTACATCTGTTATGTGTCTATCTTGAAAGTATTTCGTTTGTTTTTATATACACTTATGTTTTATTTTATAAATTTTGTTATATAAATTGATTGATTCAAAATTATTTATGCATTATGTGCGTTTGATAATGATTTTTCATCGAGTTTTGCACTTAATCGTGTTCAGTTTCGTCTGTTTAAGACTTGTGTTATAAGCAAGCAAAAATAAGCTGAATTTGTAAGCTTTTTATTACTATATGAAATCTATTAGTACATAACAGTATAGCATATGTAGCACTATGACAATGTGAGTTAATATAGAACAATATTGAAACATTTAGATGTAAATAAAGTATATTATTGGAATCTGCCCCATAAAAGTAACTGTTGTTTTAATACTTTTATATTGGTGTTCAAGATATTTCATATTCGTCACATGTCGCAGAGATAAAGACAGAATAGGCAATATACAAAGTGACTGCAATTTCACATTACCCTATAAATCTCAGGTGACGTACAAATCGTAGTACTTCAAAGTCTATTGCGCACTTTCCAATATGCTCACGTATTCCAAATTTACCCCCCGCAAAAAAACATTTTGTTACACAATTTTGACACCCCTAAATGGGCATGTTTTATTGTCGAATATTTTTATTTTAATACCGCTATAGACTTTGAAAATTGAGTTAAAATGACAGCGGCATACGTAGTGATTCGTTCGGTGGTCGCATTAAACGCATTAGGGGCGAAAATTGGATTCATTCGGGGGCGGTGTGTTGGTACACTTGACGGTTTAGGGATATAAAAAACTTCACCACACACACACACACACACACATACACATACACACGCACACACACACTCACGCAAACACGTTTAAAAAAATTATATATTTTGGCTTCAATGTTTATTGTTTGGTAATATTGGGAGAGAGATTAGTTTTCATTTTATTTTAAACAAAATATTTATTTATGTATCAAATGCACTAATAAATTGTGTGTTATATATAAGAGACAACAAAAAAAAATAGTTTTTTAAAATTTTCGATTAGTAAAAAATATACAGGGTGACTGGTGAATTACTATCAATATTTAAGGAGCATACTCGGTACATGATTCCCATTCGAATTATGTAAAAAAAATAGGTACTTAATTTTTGACCAAATTTCCGTATAAATAAATAAAGTGTTGACACGTTCCAAGTGTTTCTAGTGTGGACGCGTGCGGCGGCGTGCTGATACAACAACACGCCGCCGCGCGCGAGTGTGTGTGTATGTGTATACCTGATCTGTAGGGTGTTCATACGATGCGTAATTAATTACATAACTTTTGGTTAACTTTACTTAGAAGTTTATTAATATTTATGTTATATTAATTTTTATTTTGTCATATATGATCGTCAAATATCACGTCCTCAAATATCGATAGTAATTCACCAGTCACCCTGTATAACTGTAGTTTTTTGACAATATAATTTCAGGAGTAAAACCTGAAAAAATTGCGGCATGAAATGTAAAAATTCCATGCACGATTTTGATGTACCATTTGTCATCAGGGCCCTAACAATGAGGCACATGCGCCACGTTTGCACAGTCATACAAACAGTATTTTTTGTTATAGCTAATTTATTTATTGTAGAATTGCGGTGGATCGTCCCCGAGGCGCTGTTTGTGTGCACGCCTCAACTAACAATATTTGAGATTCTTTTTTGTGTGATTTAGAGATTCATGCGAACTAACATATTTATTGAATACTTTATTAAAAATACGATCATAAAAAAGGTTTTTTTTTAGATTTTCTTTATATAGTAGATAGATTGATAGTGGTAGTTGTTAATTCTTAAACTAATTATTTGGTTTGTACCTTATTTAATCCTGTTTTTGTCAGGTATTTGTGCATCAGTTATGCGATTCGAATCGCAAAAATTATTTAAAATTTTAATTCTTATCTATGACTACTTAAAGCCAAATTACAATTGTATCTCTCTTTTTCTATAGCTTACTTTTTTTATAAATATAAATAATGACTTAAATAATAAAAAAATTCAAATAAGTATCTTTTTCTGTTTGTTGTTGGATAAATGTCATGAAATATTGCGAAAAAAATTTTGAGAAAAAGCTATATGGTATAGGTATTAACTACACTACATTGAGAAACTGATAATATTACCTATTTGCCGATATTTAAATATTATAAAACATTTTATTTAAGACAAAGATAATATTTATATAAAACATATATAAATCAAACCAAGTCAGCATCAAAATGTCCAAATGTTATTCTCTACACGAGTTAATACTGTTAGTGCGACAATGACTTGATGAAGGCAAATCGGATTTGGGACCCCTCCTCACTTATTTTAAAGCCACTCAGACATTTTGCATAGTTTTAGGGGCACGTCAACGTCTCCGGTTGTAGTTTAAACATCTATTAATAATATATATATATATATATAAACCTCAATAATATTATGTTATTATCTCGAAAACTTTAAACGTTGCTTCCAAAAAGCATTAATTTTCGTTCCATGACAATAAGTACTAAGAAATTTTGTTAAAATGGATGCGGCATTTCAATCATCATATCAAAATACGTACCTTTCAATGTCTTGCTAGTCGGTGGTGTATCGCGACTCCACGGCGGGTCGCCGTGACCTGAGAAGTCTCTTAACTTGAGGTAGCTGATAGTCAGTCGTATGATAGATGCCTTATCCAATTGGCTGGTGATAGCCGCTGGTAGAGGCAGCATCTTCGCCAGTTCATAGAACTCGTAATTCTCCTTCCCGCGTCTCGATCTTGCCGCATCCCTGCTTTTCTCCTTTCGTAGCTCGAGGATGCTGTAAGATATTTACTATTAGATTTTATGAAATAACTTATATTATATTAAATATTTAACAACTTAAATTCAATTTTAAATAATATTTTGCTTTAAAAACATTTAATACGAATTCAAAATGTTTAAAGCAATATTTCGTCGTATAACTTCTACGTATATACCCGTATAGTATAAATTTATACAAATTGTATATAATTCAGTTATATTTTAAACAAAAGGCCGTTGAAATCGTTTTTAACGTTTGTGTACGCCCTCTCTCCTCCTACGGGCGGAGTCACTAATGAGTTTGTTTTAATAAGTACAGACAGCGACTCAGTGTAATGATAACGAACCTGTTTTGTAGGTTGTACGATACATTACAAGTGTATAATACGATTATATGTTACAGTATCATTGAAAATGTAGTATTTATTGTATATAAAGAAGAAATTTTATAAATAAAAACCCTAAAATTATATCCTGTTTTACGTTTAAAAATAAGCAAAAGTGAAGTATATCTTATTTTAATTAAAAATTAGAAGATTTTTTGTGAAGCCAGAATAAATATTCTTAATAATAATTCTTAAGTTATAACATTAACAACGAATAACATATATAACACATAATTACTTATTATTGCACATATACAGTATATATGCATGTGAATGTATCTATGTATATATAATTTGATACATTTAAAATTTTTTCTTCACACTACATACAATTATGTGTTCCTTACTTGTTTTTCCAAATATATCTTAATTTATATCTATATATCTATTACCACCTAAGTTCCTAAAAACCTATGGAATAAGTTGCTTTAAACTGAAACTCAGTAGTAACACCTACAAGAAGAGAAGACCTGATAGAATGAGTGGAAAGGATCTCCCTTAAGAGTAAGTCCACAGGCAAAATCACCTAAACCTAACAATTCAATTTTAAGATTGTTTTCAAACAACATCGCATTAATGTTTTTTATTCTTTAGCTTTTTTAGTTCGGCTGTAAATTTATTAAAGTTTTTATATTGAATAACAGTACATAAATAACATGACTTACAATTATAGCAACATTGATAAAAATGTAAAACTGTTATCAAATTATTGCATTTTCATCGCTACTGATAGGTATGTTAAGTTTCAAATTATTTACTTCACTTCACTTTACTTCTATACTATTCCCTACACTTGACTTCTAGAAACCAGTGAAAATTTAGCTCAAAGATTTCCTTACATACAACCCAAGCTAATATTATTACTTATGTCATTGGCAATTTTACTATAAGTTTTACGAACAAACAATAGAACGAACTGTTTATTTAATATTTTATTATAGAGTAGCACAAATAAAACTATTAACACTAACTAAGCGATGATATCAATCGCTAATAGGATCCGCCATTTGCATTACAATACATATTCAAAAGTCACATAGAATGTGGTAGAATTATGTCACTATGTTTATACGCACGAGTAGAAAATAAACTTATATTTATTAAAATACTATGTATAATATATATTTAAGGTTTATTATTTATAGAAAATATTAATAAATTAATTTACATAAGGATTAATTGTTGAAAAACTGCTATAAATACTAAAATTTCAGACGACATGTCGAAGTTAAATAAGTAACATTTACTTTGAGCTACTATACACGTTATTTACACGTTTTTTTACATCCACCTCTGAGTAAGCGATTCAGAAATGGGTTTCACTTTACGATCCGATTACTCTCCTTCGGGAATAAGTTTACAGTCACCTGAGTAAGGTCAAACCATCATAAAACGGTGACTATTATAGGAAATAAAACAAAAAACTATCCAAAACAAAAAAAAAACATCACCATTAATCCTATTAAACAACAATTTATATGACGTTCGATAAAAATTGTAAAATTTTATCTTATCGCTCCAAATGGGGGGGTAATAATGTTTAAATAAAGAAAATCTAAACAAACCCTTTAAGATCCTATTTCCAGATAAGTATAAACGTCTATAGTATGAAACAAGCGGCCCTTACAGCTGATTTAATGTATCTCGAGGGTCAGTTTTGACCGAAAGCATTAAATTGTTTAAAATAACTTCGACCGAGGGTGAACTACCCTCAATCTTATACGATTAGTTCTGGTTATTAATATACATATATATTATTATTCTTTTTTTATTATATTGTTATTATTTATTGCTAGCCAGTTGCTTTAAATAAAATATTTATGAACACTAAAGAGGATATATATGGAATTAAAAAAAAATTAATGTGATAAGTTCCTTATTCGCAACTTAAATTCATAAAAACGTAAGTTATTATTTATAAAACATTTTAGATAAAATATTTAAATCAGATTTTAATATATAAATATGTATTTATTTTAATACATTATATTCTACAATAAACTTTATTTTATTAACAGAAATTGTTCTGTTATTCTGCCTTAAGTAACTTCAAGACACATATTCTTATTGAATGTTTTTTTTTGTATAAACTTTACCTTTTCATATAGTATTTCTTTTCTTTTCCGTATATTGTTGTTACGTGGTCTAATGTAACATAATTCTTCTTTTCTCTATGTTGGTTTGTCTTTCCCATAAATTCTACTCAATACGAGAGCCACTGTAATGTTTTCTTTCGTTCCAATTTTTATGACGTACCTCCCTTCATCTTAGAAGTGTCTGTCTTTAAGTGTACTCGTACGTGTCCCGCCGCCCTGTACACCTGGGAATCGAACCCACAATACGTTACTAACGCCTTGACCCCCATTTTAAATATGACGACCTAAAAACAACCCTACAGCCAACAAAATAAAGTCCAAAATAACATACCACCTATATATCAGCGGTCAGCGTTGATTGGGACTTGCTCGAATAGAACGTCGTAACTCAAAAGATTGTTCAAACAAAATCAGTCCTTATATCTTCGTATGAAGTCGTAAATGTAGCGTTCGTTAAAAAAAAGTGGAAAAATTGAAATAGTCCCGGGAAGTGTAAGAAAGATCGTAAAGAGCCATACGCAATGTCGCAGTAGTTACGGCTAATGTGTCCCGGACAAATTGAGTTGCGCCCGGGTACGAATTAGTTCGCCCGGGGGATTTACTTGCATAGTATGACAGACGCGTCAGTTTCGCTATGATTACATTTGTGTCATCATTAATATGATCAAGCTATCAACAAAATTTACCTTGCAAAATTCATTGAACACAATTTTATCACCTCCAATACAAATAACCGTTTAGTATTTGAACCACTACAAGCTTGTCAAAGGACTTTTTTTTGTCATTATCAAAAGATTAAGTCATAGGTAGCAGGAGATTAAATGAATCTTAGAATAAGACCTCCTTATTCTTATTCACCTTCGAAGGGTTAAAATTCAATCGATCGATTAACCTAATGGGGTATATTTGGTGTAATCCCCTGTTGTGGGTATTTAATACCGCGCCTGGGAACTATAGAGCATTTTCTGCTTCAATAATCTTGAGTCTAAACATTGGATCTCATTGTTGCGGTTTATTTGTTATTGGCGACATAAATACATAATGCATGGGAAAAACTGTGTTTTGTCACCATATATATTTAGTTTATATGTAGTAATAAAATAAAAATAATATATATTAGTACAAAAGATCAATATTAATGTTAATGTTCTAGACAATTAAAGAAATTTATTGACCTAACTATGGTTTAAAGATCACAATTTATCTTAATTCTGACCTTCCATATTGTACGTATACAAATTAGCTTCTTTCTCAAAGAAGTTCATCCTTTCTAACTTCGACCCACTTAATAATCAATAAAATAATTTTTCTAACAATAAATATAATAATTTCATTGATATCGCCAGCCGGATCTTGAGTTTACAACCCTATCATAAAGTTTAAGTGTGGTGAGAACTTTATGGTGATAAATATGACATTTTTTATTGTCATCAAGTGGTTACACTGAATACACACAAAGGGGTGTCTTAGCGACAATATGCTTCATATTTTTACTATATTAGGGCCATAAGTACGTATTATATAATGATCGGTAGTACAATTATATAGGTACTATTCTTAGAGTGTCAGATGAAGTAATATTTTGAGATATCTGAAGCATTGGAATGTTTTTTATATAAATCATAGTCTTCTATTTTTAATAATGACAGTGATGATTGCAACTGCGGCGTAACGAATAATATAACTTGTTTTTATATAAAGTGTTTTTATATCAAAGAAAGTCAACATAACTGTTCAGTGAGTTGTATTGTCATTATAAAAAATATAACAATAATATATAATTTAAATCCATCCCTATTTAATTATAGCAATAAACGGTCTGGTGAATCAGATAATTTGTGCTAGATGACAGTTTTTATAAGCTATTTTATTGTTAAATCCAAAAATTTGAACAGTAACTTTTCTTAAGACAGGGAAAAAAAGTACGATAAAAATTCCAAGTGTAATAGAGTTAAACGGAGTGAAACTTTTCAAAGAGAAATTTACACCCCATACACTTAAGGGTCGGCTGGCTTTCTTTAAGAGCGCGGACATTTGAGATCCTGAGTTTAGTCAACCATTGAGTCCCATGGGCCTTTCAAACCGATGGTCACTTAAAGAAATTCAAATACAAAGTTACGAAGATATCTTCACACCAATAAGTCGAAACCTTTTATTGTTTTTCATTATCACGTAATTATATTTGTCGGAAATAAATTAGCACTGATAGGAGAAACCATTAAGATATTTATTCTCCGTACATAAACAGTCTCCACTCTCCATACAAGGGCGTTTATTTGACATAGGAAATGAAAATGTCATCGGATTATTACGCCCCGGGATTATTGATACAGCCGACGATTATTTTTGCTGATATAATCTGTATGTATAATGTCATAATGACAGGACGCCATCTTTGATTACTGATTGCATGATCCGTGATTACGTTTAGGTAATAAGGATTCTAATAACAATGCGTATATACCAAAAACAGAATAATTTATGGCAATAATCTTGCTATCATATTTTGCAAAGTTTAAATGTTAAAGCAATTA